AGGCTTCGGCAGGCTTTGCAGGCCGAAAACTAGCCCCGTTTCATCATTTCCGGTATTTTCGGAAAAATAGGAAGTGACGAAATGGGGCTAGTTTTCGGCCTGCAATGCCTGCCGAAGCCTTCCTCAAGCCTCTGGGAGGTCAAAAAAGGCCTCAAACTGGCCGAAAATCAGCTGTGAGACACGCACATGCGCAGTGAGGTAAGTTTGCCTGCAGCTTGCGTGCCGACACAAATGGCTCTGTATGCCACCTGTTTCACGCGTGCCATAGGTTCATCACGACTCTAGAAAGAGTGCAGAGAAGAGCAAGCAAGATGATTCGGGGGCTGGAGGCTAAAACATATGAAGAACGGTTGCAGGAACTGGTTATGTCTAGCCTGATGAAAAGAAGGACTAGGGGAGACATGACAGCAGTGTTCCAATATCTCAAGGGCTGCCACAAAGAAGAGGGAGTCAAGCTATTCTCCAAAGCCCCTGAGGGCAGGACAAGAAGCAATGGGTGGAAACTAATCAAGGAGAGAAGCAACCTAGAACTAAGGAGACATTTCCTGACAGTTACAACAATTATTCAGTGGAATGAGTTGCCTCCGGAAGTTGTGAATGCTCCAACACTGGAAGTTTTTAAGAAGATGTTGGATATCCATTTGTCTGAAGTGGTGTAGGGTTTCCTGCCTAGGCAGGGGGTTGGACTAGAAGACCTCCAAGGTCCCTTCCAACTCTGTTATTCTATTCTATTCTATTCTATTCTATTCTATTCTATTCTATTCTATTCTATTCTATTCTATTCTAGATGGTAGAATTGATGGAAGCAGTAGATAGCTGGATAGATGTCCCACTTGGTGGCTAGTGAAATCAGTTTCTTAATCTTGGCAATTTGAAGATATGTGGACTTCAATTCCCAGAATTCCCTATGCTGTCTGGGGAATTCTGGGAGTTCAGGTCCACATATCTTAAAAATGGCTAAAGTTGAGAATCACTGAGATATAGAGGGATGGCTTGATTGACAGGAAAACAGATGGTTGGATGGATTGGCAACTGTAATTTTTCTAAAAATGTGCTGATAGAAAGGTCATTTTGACATTTTGGTTTTGACATGAGATTCAGAAGCATTTTCAGGAAATATGTCTTGCCAACAGGGAAGGGCATTTTATTCTGTGCCTGCTTAGGGCTGTTCAGCCCAAAAAGCCATTCAGAAAACAAAGCATCGTGTTTCTCACATGAAGTGGTACCCACTTCAGATCTCTTCACACAGAGCTTCTACTGAAGGAGAAGATGGCATTAAGGTTACCCACTATGTATCTACCGCTGTAAAAATAATTCCTTTTCCTTTTAGACCAAATCAATCCACTCCTCCGGGGCCCTCAGTGTGAAGAGACAAGAATGAGATGCAACTTGTGAAATGTATCTTGGTGGGTTGGGCATCAGCAGTCACCTATAAGGAGGAGGAGGAGGAGGAGGAGGAGGAGGAGGAGGAGGAGGAGGAGGAGGAGGAGGAGGAGGAGGAGGAGGAGGATGGGCCGGGAAGGGAGGGCAAGACAGAATCCCAATTGCCAAGGCAACCAAACTGCACTGCAGAAACACAAGGGTGAAATTAATCCCAGAGCCTTCTACAGCAGAACATATGGGACCTACTTCTGACACCGTCAGCTACATCAACCTTCTCCAGGGTGATTTCCAGCCTACATCTCTCCAAGGCCAAACTAGCAGGATAAAATTATCAGTGGTTACAAGAGCTGTAGTTAGTTGGTAAACACACACACACACACACACACACACACACCAACAACTCTTGGTAATATCCTTGGAGTAGACTAAATCATAGGGCTGAAAGGGACCTCGAAGATCTCCTAGACCAGCCCCATGCTTAGGGCAGGAGCCTTCTACCATTCCCAGTGTTGTTTTTCTGTGTCATATAATATATGTGTGGGCATCGGCATAATTTTGTATTCATTTATTTTGTCATGTTTATGTGGTGCATAGGGACATGGTGGTCCAGTGGCTAAGACGCTGAGCTTGTCGATCAGAAAGGTCGGCAGTATGGCGGTTCGAATCCCTAGCGCCGCGTTACTTGTCCCAGCTTCTGCCAACCTAGCAGTTCAAAAGCTGGCTCTTCGGCTAGTCGTTTCCAGTTCTAGGGGGCGGTGCTCATCTCCATTACAAAGCCGAAGAGCCAGCACTGTCCGAAGACATCTCATGTGGCTGGCATGACTAAATGCCGAAGGAGCACGGAACACTGTTACCTTCCCATCAAAGGTGGTCCCTATTTTTCTATTTGCATTTTTTACATGCTTTCGAACTGCTAGGTTGTCCAGAACTGGGACAAGTAAACGGGAGCTCACTCCATTACACAGCACTAGGGATTCGAACTGCCGAACTGCGGACCTTTCTGATCGGCAAGCTCAGCGTCTTAGCCACTGAGCCACCACGTAATATCCTTGAAGTAGATTAAATCATAGGGCTGAAAGGGAACCTCGAAGGTTTCCTAATCCAACCCACGCTTAGGGCAGGAACCTTCTACCATCCCAGTGTTGTTTCTCAGTGTCATATATGTGGGCATAGGCATAATTTTGTATTCATTTATTTTGTCATGTTTATGTGGTGTATATTAGCGGTGGAGAGCTGTATGCAACAAAAGGGATCACCTTTTGCGACCTTCAATGGGGAAGCCAAATTCCCTTAACAACCATGTTACTAACTTAACAATGGCAATCATTCATTTAATAAGTGTAGCAAGAAAGCTCATAAAAGTGGGGCAAAATTCACTTAACAAATGTTTCGCTCAGCAACAGAAATTTTGGGCTCAATTGTGGTTCTAAGTCAGGGACTACCAGTACCTCAACAGAGCTTACTAGCAAAACAATCCCTGATAAGCTGGAGCAAGTTTTAGTACTGTAGTAAGTTATTACACTAGTAAAACTTGTCCCAGCCTATTAGGGATGTTTCTGCTAGTAACCCAAGTAGCATGATTCACACTGTATATGAGTTGTCTAGTTGAGGACCTGCAAGACATTTTCTATGTACAACTTGTCTTATATGATCCTGTAAACTACAGGATGAAGGAAAACCCATGAAAGAGTCTTGAACAGGTGTAATGGTTCTTTTCACAACAGGTAAGCCTGAATATAGATACATTTGCTCACGATGAAGGTGAACCGAGAAACAATTAAATCAGAGGTGCCTTATCTCCATCTCTCCTGAGATGAAAAAAAATCACAAACTGAATCGCATGGATGTGATAGCCATTTCCTAGGAAACATATTAAAAAGGCAACATCAATAAAGGCAGCCTTGCAAAATATGCACTGTAGTTCCTTTACCAGTGTTTGCTTACTTTGATTTAAAAAGAAAGAAAGAAAAAGTTTACTACAGATTTAAAAAAAATAGTTGGAAGAATTTAATAGGCTAAATCAGGTCTTAGTTTTGCTGACACGTTTTTTTCCCCTGCGTTCCTAAGTTTAGCAACCACAAATTATCCAGCTGTGAGGTTTTTCAAGAACGAAAACTTGCTGGTTTCTATGACAATATTTGCACGAACTAAAGGTTAAAATTGTTAGAAGTAAAAGGAAAGAGTATAAAGTTGACTTATTTGATCAAGGTTAAAACAATTTAAATAAGTAAATTTAATTATAGTTTAAATAATTTAAAAGTTGATATTTTATGCTTATAAAGGATGGGGTGTGAGGTGAAGAGACACCTGTTTCTAACTTTAGGAAGTGTTTATGAGCTTTATGAAGAGTTTACAAACTTAACCATTAAATCTTATTTCTAACCTAATGAAAGTGAAGAATTACTAAAAATTCTGCACCTGTAATAAAGACTGAAAGTCACTTCTTCACATCTTTTTTATATATATTCAAAATATATATTGCTACCAACCTGCCTTCCATTGAGGACCTGCATACTGCATGAGTCAAAAAGAGGGCTGTGAAAATCTCTACAGATCCTTCACATCCTGGACATAAATTGTTTCAACTTCTACCCTCAAAACGATGCTATAAAGCATCGCACACCAGAACAAATAGACACAAGGAAAGTTTCCACCCTCCCATGCCATCATTCTGCTAAACAATCCCCACAACAATCAAACTGTTTAGTAAGGCTGTATTATTATTATTATTCTCACCTTTCCTATTACCTTTTTTCTTTTCTACTCATGACTAAAACTTTGTTGCTTGTATCTTTACACTTTATGTTGTTTTATTTAGTTTCCTAGTATGATTTATGTTGATTGCTTATTTAGTATCCTATGACTACCACTAAGTGTTGTATCATGATTTATGATGAATGTATTTTTATGATGACTATGATCATGGTTTATCACTCACAAATTTATGTACACTGAGAGCTTATGCACCAGAGACAAATTCCTTGTGACTCCAATCACACTTGGCCCATAAAGAATTCTATTCCATTCCATTCCATTCTTTCTTTTTCTTGTTTCTTGCCCTTTTTCTTCTTTCTAATCTCTTCTCTTTATTTAAGTTTAGTTTGTATTAGTCTTTACTACTGCAATCCAAATCCTTAATAGAAGTTATATACAAAATGAATGAAACCTTCCATGGGCAAGAGGTTATTGAATGCCAGCTTCATAAACCTAAGTGAAAAATTTATACACCCAACCAAATTTGTACAAGACCTTTTATTTGGTTGCCAAAGACACTTCACAACGGCCTCTAAGGCAGGATGGAGCAGTGGTTAGAATGCAGTACTGCAGGATACTTCTGCTGACTGCCGGCTGTCTGCAATTTGGCAGTTCGAATCTCACTAGGCTCAAGGTTGAGACTCAGCCTTTCATCCTTCCGAGGTCAGTAAAATGGGGACCCAGATTGTTGGGGACAATATGCCGTTTCTGTAAGCCACTTAGAGAGGGCTGTAAAAGCACTGTGAAGCAGTATATAAGCAGTGCAATTGCTAGTGTTAGTGCTATTCTGGAAAACAAACTTCCCCTCACCAATGTATTTGCAAGAGAACCAACATCCCTGACAGATTTAAATTTGACATTACCTCGTCTCGCCGCGTGGGCATCCATGGCCGAGTGAGGAGCACAGTATCTCCCTGGATGACTGCCAGATCCCCCACCAGTGTGGCATAGGGGAAGCCCTCGTCTGCCGCCAGTTCAATGACTTGCAGCCCTAGCTTCTGGCGCAGTATGCCAGTGTAGACCCCGTACTGTCGGTGAGCCTTGGCTAGGTCCACCGGATCAGCCCCACTGTCAGATCCATCCGCTGTGGTCTCCGCTGTGGCAAAGGAGGAAGGAATGCAGCGGACGATGGCGTGGGTGTACTTGCCAAAGGAGGAGACACTGGCCATGTTCTGCAGGAAGACAGAAGAGACACAACCGTTAGGATGAAATGGGCCTCATTTTTCAGTCAAATATGAGTCCCGCATCAACAGATCTTCTGCAGTGGGCAGCAATGACTAATTCTGCACCTAAAACAGTAGGAAGGTCTATTGTTGGCCACAAAGAGTTTAATTTTGGTCGAGTCAAGTGGAAAAATTGCAAGATTAATGCAAGATTTCACAGTTGACTCACACCAGCGGACAGCCTAAGTCTACCAGGAAGGAAACTATATTTTATAGATGCAAGAATATTCCCTCGGTAATATTTTGAGAAATACTAATGGACAGAGCTGAAGCAAACAATAGGTGGAGCCACTCTTTCTAAAAATAAGTTTAAAAACCTACTTTCTTTCCCTCTGTCTTTTTTATTATTTGCTATAGCTAGTCCTCAACTTACAACCCTTCATTTGCAAACTTCTGACCAGCAAAGTCAATGGGGGAAACCAGATTCACTTAACAACCATGTTTCTAACTTAACAACTGCAGTGATTCCCTTAACAACCGTGGTAACAAAGGTCATGAAATGAGGCTAAACTCACTTAATAACTCGCTTAGCAACTGAAATTTTGGGCTCAATGGTGCTCATAAATCAGGAATTATCTGTATTCTGATAAGCAACAGAAATCCAGTGTCTGAAGCAACGGCCTTTCAATCCTAAACCATATGCTCAAGATATTTTGCTTCAAGTTTAGGACCTTACATTTCTCAAGATTTCCCAAGAACTGAGGTTTCCCAAGAACTGAGTCTCAGCATCTTCCTACTTGAGTTATGTGACAACACTAATATATTTTCAAGGTTCTGTCTTAGGCCCGGTACTGTTCAATATCTTCATTAACGACTTAGATGAGGGAATAGAAGGGGAACTTACCAAATTTGCAGATGATACTAAGCTGGCAGGAATAGCTAACACCCAAGAAGATAGGCTCAAGATCCAGATGGATCTTGACAGACTAGAACACTGGGCCGTATGATCTAACAAAATGAAATTCAATATAGAGAAAAGTAAAGTCCTACACAGGCAAGAAAAACCAAAAGTACACATATAGACTAGGTAAAACCAGGCTCAATAGCAGTAACTGTGAGAGGGATCTTGGAGTCTTAGTGGACAGCCAGCTAAATATGAGCCAGCAGTGTGCAGCAGCAGCCAAAAAAGCTAATGCAATCCTAAATTGCATTAACAGAGGGATACAATCAAAATCAAGGGAGGTACTAATACCACTCTATAAAGCCTTAGTAAGACCACACCTAGAGTACTGCATCCAGTTTTGTTCACCACATTATAAAAAAGATGTTGAGACTCTAGAAAGAGTACAGAGAAGAGCAACCAGGATGATTTGGGGACTGGAGACTAAAACATACAACGAACGGTTGCAGGAACTGGGCTTGGCTAGTCTAGGGAAGAGAAGGACCAGGGGAGACAGGATAGCAGTCTTCCAATATTTGAGGGGCTGCCACAGAGAGGAAAGGGCTCAATCTATTTTCTAAAGCACCCAAAGGCCAGACAAGGAATAATGGATGGAAACTGAACAAGGAGAGATTCAACCTGGAAATAAGGAGAAATTTTCTGACAGTGAGAACAATCAACCGATGGAACAGCTTGCCCTCGGAAGTTGTGGGAGTGTCAACACTTGAGACTTTCAAGAAGAGATTGGACTGCCATTTGTCAGAAATGGTGTAGGGTCTCCCACTTGGGCGGGGGGTTGGACTAGATAACCTACAAGTCCCTTCCACCTCTGATTATCTGTTATTTTCGGCGAAATGGACTACTTGGCCCATTCTCTAGGAGCTAGGAAATTTCTCAAGAGCTGGGAGCGATGCATTCATCACCCACCTGGCAAAGGGTGTGGGATAGCAAAGTTGAGGAGAATGCAATTGCGTTCCCCATCTCCTTCAGCAGATGTCTTCAGGAAGGGGGAAGTTTAGAGCTCATTTCAGCTCCAGATTAATAATCTCACCAGTTACCAACTTCCTGAGAGGTTCCTTCAAAAGGCCAATCAATAATACCAGAAGATTGCACCTATCGAACCAATTAGATTCCTATTTGCAAAAGAAGCCAATGAAGGATCAATGACCTGCCCAGGGAAGAGACTGCCAACTTATAGACATCATCCAATTGATCAGAAAGAAAGCTAGCTCAGGGTTTCTCCCAACAACCTCAGCCACCTTAGTATGTGTGGACTTCATGTGTGGACCTTAGGATGTTGTTGTTGTTGGTCGCGAAGTCGTGTCCAACCCATCGCAACCCCATGGACAACGTTCCTCCAGGCCTTCCTGTCCTCTACCATCTTCTGGAGTCCATTTAAGCTCATTCCTACTGCCTCAGTGACTCCATCCAGCCACCTCATTCTCTGTCGCCCCCTTCTTCTTTTGCCCTCAATCATTCCCAGCATTAGGCTCTACTCCAGGAAGTCCTTCCTTCTCATTAGGTGGCCAAAGTCTTTGAGTTTCATCTTCAGGATCTGGCCTTCTAAAGAGCAGTCAGGGTGGATCTCCTCTAGGACTGACCGGTTTGATTGCCTTGCTTCTTCTGCAGCACCATAGTTCAAAGGCCTCAATGGGACTTCAACTCCATGCTGGCTGGCTAATTCTGGGAGTTGAAGACTGTTGAGGTAATTCCCCGTTAGGAGAATGAGTGCATACAGGGAGACGTATTTGAGAGAAGTGTTTGAATAATACACACACAGTACACAGATACACTGTACAGTAAATGTAGGTTTTTACTTCCAGAAAGGTTTAAGCAAAGTCCAAAATAAGCAGTCCAAAAGTCATTCACAGATAAATCAGTCAGTTTTTCAATCCAGGGATAATCCAAATATCAAATTCCAGTGTCAAAAACAGTTCAGTATCAGACTTACATTAAATCCAGTAATATCAGTCAATTAGAAGAAATGGAGTAACGGCAATACTTTCCAACAGAAGGAAACAGAGATACTCACTCAGACACACTCTCTTCTGAGACTAAGACTAAACAACCCAGGTTGCTGGCTCCATCTTATGGCTGTTTGAGAAACCACACCGAATTGCATGCTCTTGCATTTCCTTAAAGATATAGTACTAAAATGTTTATCCTGGTTTATATATTTCTAACCCAAATACCTGTTAGGTGACTTATATTCCTAACAAAGTCTACGCATTTTAAAAGTTGCTAAGATTTGAGAAGACCTCAGCTACAGAGCTGGCATCAGGCCTTAATTATTCCACTGTTGGAGAAACTCAGAGTTTGCTTCCAAAGACAAAAAATGTCAGCCAAATATCCCATCCATTATTTTTTAAAAAAATGACAACTTAGGAGAACACATTCCAAGACACAGCAGGCAGGCAGTGCCAGGCAACCTTGAGAGGCTCAGTACAAAACTCAGCGAGTCAACACGCACGACTTCCACAACCCAAAAATACTCGTCATCCTCTGAGGATGTTCTAATGCAGGATGTTCTAATCCTTGTACGATTAGAACAATTTATGCAGATTATTTCAAACCTGGTCTGATGAATGTTACAACAGTAGATACACTGCAAAGGTCTGAGTCTCCTTGGGACAGAGCTCCATACTCTTTGTTGCAGGAAGCTAATTACAGCTGTTGAAAATTTCGCCTTATTTGTCCCAAAGGTGTTTTTTCAAGAGGGAACTGGACTTTCTGGTTTTTCTTTGAAGACGTTTCACTTCTCATCCAAGAAGCTTCTTCAATCTCTTGAAAAAGCACCTTTGGGACAACCACAACCTGGATGACGGAGAATCTCCATAAACAATTAGTTTTGCCTTATTTGTTTACAGGTAATCCTCCACTTGTGACCATGTATATCTATGTCATATACGTGGGGGGGGGGGAGGTATATGCATAATGGACATCTTTTGAAAGCTGAATGCAACGAATTTTCATTTTAATGTATGCTGATTATTCTACTTTTAAAGTGACAATAAAGTTTTAGTCTATTCCAGTGATGGTGAACCTTTTTGTTGTGGTGTGCCAAAAGAGCATGCGCCAGCACCCACAATGCAATGTGCCTGCCCCCCTGCGCATGTGCACAACACCCCCGCCTGCCCCCTTACCTGCACTGCGCCTCCCAGCTGATTTTTGGCCCGTTTGAGGCTGTTTTTGGCCTCCCGGAGGCTCAAGGGAAGCCTCTGCAGCCTTGGGAGGCCGAAAAACAGGCCTTCCAGAAATAGCGGAAGTGCCCATTATCAGCCTCCGGAGGGCCTCTGCAGCCTTGGGAGGCTGAAAATGGGCCCGTTTTGGCACTTCCGGTATTTCCAGAAGGCCTGTTTTTCAGCCTCCCGAGACTGCAGAGGATTCCCTCGAGCCTCCGGGAGGCCGAAAACTGTCTCAAACGGGCCAAAAAAATCAGCTATGAGGAGCGCACATGTGCAGTGCAGGTAAGTTTGGTTGGGACTCGTGTGCCCGCACAAATGGCTTTGCGTGCCACCTGTGGCATGCGTGCCATAGGTTCGCCATCATGGTTCTATTCTATTCATTGGATGACCATTTGAAGTTAACCACAGCCTGAAAAAAAGTGACTTTATGACCATTTTCCACAATTACAAGCAAATCCATGGTCACATGATCAAAATTTGGATCCTTGGCAACCAGCATGTACTTATGACGATTGCAGCGTCCCGGAGTTATGGGATCTCCTTTTGTGACCTTCTGACAAGCCAAGTCAATGGGGAAGCCGGATTCACTTAACAACCATGTTACTAACAGAACAACCTCGAGGATTTGTTTAACAACTGCAGCAAGAAAGGCTGCAGAATTGGGCAAAAGACACTTAACAACTGTCTTCTTTAGCAACAGAAATTCAGCAACAGGACAGGGGTGGGGGAGATGCTAGGAGGATGGTCAACAGTGTAAGTTTTCAAGCCTACTTCTCAGTGATTAAACTCTTCTTCTGTTTATTATGAAGGAAAGTAAAATACAGAATGAATAAGAGTTGGAAGAGAACTTGGAAGTCTACTAGTCCAATCCCCTGCTCTAACAA